AAAATCCAACCCATATCCATGAGAATATTCGAAATCTAAAATTCGAAAATCCGAATAAAGTGGATCAGTTCGAATTCTCGGATATTCAATCCAAATCCATAGCCCTAGCCCTAGCCCTAGGTGTTTCGTTGTCTCGTTTTGATGGAGCATTTGTCATTTGTAAATTACATGTATAATAAATGATTAATTTAAGGGCTTTTTCACCTCCAACAACTGCTAGGAATTCCAATGGCCTAAGTTAAGAATAACATTTGAATTATTCTTATTTCAATTAGCTTCTACGTACTCTTTATGTGTCTTTGGACCAGATCCAATCGAAATTGTAGCATTGAGTTCATGTGTGGGCTGCTGCAAGAGGTTTTGTTTTTCATTTCTCTCTAAAGAGCAAGATAACTACTTCCGTTTTAGCCTATTCTTATTCTCATTTTACTTTTAATAGAAGTTCCTTATGGAATTCCAAAAAACTCTGATTTTGTTGATGCATTGTGTTTGGTACGACAAAAATATTTTCCGAAAAATATTTTTTAATTTATTCATGTTTGGTTAACTTAAATGCTTTGAAAAATATTTTTCTCATGAACTCATATTCCTCCAATTATAGGTGAATGTTTTTCCTATTAAGAGAAGAAAAAATATTTTTCAAAATTCATTTTCAACCTTCCCCGCCTTATTCTCTATTCCCACCAACCCCCACTACTCTTGCAGAAAGAGTACTTTCTTTTTCAACCAAAAAAAGAGTATTTTCTTTTTAGTTACGAAGCCAAAATTTCAACGTTATTTTTGCGTGAAAAAGTAAAGCAGCATATTAGTTCCTTTGGGTTTATATGAATTTTTAAAAGAATAATTTAATTCTTGAAGATAATTGAGTCTAGAAAATGTTGGGTATTTTGGGGTATGGGGAGGGAGGGATCATGGAAAATATGGGATTTAGGGAAAGGGGTGAGAAGAGTAGTATAAAAAATTATTTTCCTAAGAAAATATTTTCTACTCTCTAACCAAACACTAGAAAATATTTTTCGGAAACAAATTTTCGATCATCAACCAAACAAGAGAAAATAAGTAATAAAATCACTCATTTTCCAAAAAAAACATACTTAGAAAAATATTTTCCATGAAAAATATTTTCCTTCGTACCAAACACACCCTTAGTATTAATGTATTTGCTTAGGTTCTCGTTATTCAAACGCAGCCCGCGCAGGTAGTTAGATGGTCACATATATTTTAAAAAACATATTAATATAATATAGGTTCCATATTAAGAATTTTCATACATATAAAATTAACATCTGGATGCTAGGTTCAAACTCCCGCTTCCAAAATTAAGTTATTTGGCCAGCGATCAATTATTGGTCCTATTGTATAGGGTAAAATAAGTTTTGTTAAGTGATCGGACAAGAGAGTGACACATCGAACCGAATACAAAAGATAGCTAAAACAGAAGGCAACTATTTTGTCTGTTACCAGAAAGAATGGTGTTTATAAAGATGAAATAAATGTCTGCCACCCGGTAGCATTTAATGAAGAATATTCTACAGCATTTAATACACCGCTCGCTATAAAGAATTTGACATTCATGCCCGTCGTTACACATTCTTCAATGGCCCTCATAATTGATATTAAAGAAGGGCTTGATCATAGGACCTTGTTCTCTAGGTGCAGTTATAAATAGTTAGCTCTATTATCGTTGTAGATGACACGAATTTTCTGGCAAACTTACGCTATAATCTATTCAAAGTTTAATACCATTTTATCTTTTTGCTCCTTGATTTCATTGTTGTTGTGCCTGAAGACCTTACTGCTTCTGGAACTACTATTTCTGCTATTTTATCACCATCTTAAGTCTAAGTATTGTATATTTATTTAATTCTTCTATTATTTCAGGATCAAATTAATTCATTTGTCTAGAAACCACGTATAAATTAAACTGTACCATTTTACGGGTAAACAGTTTGGCGCCCACCGTGGGGCCTAGATAATCGTGTAATTAAATTGGTCCTTGCCTCTTTTACTAACGTGCTTTGATTATTTGTTCTTAGAAAAAATTCATAGAAAATGGTAGATAATGGTGTTAATAATACACACAATCTTGAGGCCCAAGGAGACCAACCTCAGCATGAAGATTCAATCAGTGATACCCGCAATGAGGGAAGCGATACCACGGCAGTCCACAACAGACGGTACCCACGACATGTTCGGGAGGTGACTCCCGATGATGCTGAAGAGGAACATGTCGTTGAAGCGGTGAGGGTCCTGCAGGAACAACAAGAGGTCATCCTAGGCCATCTCACATGGCAGGATAAGGTTATGACAGAAATAAAGAAGGCGTTATCGGGTGCTTCCAATAACGCGAACGGACGAGGTCCAGTTCCTCCCGGTGCTCCCGCAAGTCAAAAAACGCAGAGGGTCGACAACAACACCCCGATGGGCGAGGTCGGCTTCGATGGGGCCAGGAGGAACGGATCCGGTCACAACAACGAGAGTGATCCCTTCAAAAGTGAACTCTTGCAGTTTATGAGGGAAGTAAACGCCTGCATGGACCAAATTCCGGGTGCACCACCGGTGCTGAAATAACCGGACTCAAAGAAGTATACCCAACTACCGTACAAACAAAGTGCGGCACCAGAATTGATCCTGAAGCAGTTTAAAATGCCCAATATGCCAAAATATGATGGGATTTCGGACCCTCAGGAGCATATTACCATCTATACAACGGTGGTGAAAGGGAACGATTTAGCTCCCCACGAGATCGAATCAGTTTTGCTAAGGAAATTTGGAGAGACTCTCACGGAGCCTTGACGTGGTATTCACTGTTGTCCGAACATTTTATGGATGTTTTTGAAATGCTCGCGGATTCTTTCATTGAGGCCCATGTCGGGGCCAGATAGGTCCACGCCTGAAAGGCCTACATATTCAGAATTGCACAAGGAGAGTTCGAGTTGCTGCGGGAATTTGTCACGCGATTCCAGAAGGATAGAATGTTGCTCCCGGTTGTTTCGGGTGAATGGGCAGCTAAAGCATTCACCAAGAGTTTGAATCTAAGAAGTTCTGATGCTTCCCAAAAATTGAATGAAAGCTTGCTCGAGTTCCAACGACGACTTGGGCGGATGTTCACAACCGGTACGAGTCCAAGATAAGATTGAGGAAGATCAGCTCGACTTCCTAGCGCCGGTTAAAGGTCGGGAGAAGAATAAAGAGAAATCAAAAGACAATTTCGACACAGATAGACGATATTCGAGGGGCTGGATTTATGCCTTATGAACGGGCTGAAGGATGCGGTAGAGGTTTTCGGGCGCAGACAGGTTCGCTACTGATAGAAGAACTTACCACAGTCGAAACAACAGATCGTGCAGGACAAGGAAGCATCAGGTTCTCGAGATCCTTCCTATCCCAGACTTTCAAAATACAACTTCAACGTTAGTGTAGTAAAGTTGGTATCGGCTATGAGGAACATTAAAGAAGCACGGTTTCCGAAGCCGATGAGTTCAGATCCTAGCCTGAGGGATCTTAATTTGAGGTGTGAATACCACGGGACAAACGGCCAGCGAACTGGGGACTGCCAACATCTACGTGAAGAAGTGGCGACACTACTAAACAATGGCCATCTTAGGGTGCTCCCGCAAGTCAAACAATGCAGAGGGTTGACAACAGCACATCGAGGGGCGAGGTCGGCTTCGATGGGGCCAGGGAGAATAGATCCGGTCACAACAACGAGAGTGATCCCTTCAAAAGCGAACTCTTGCGATTTATGAGGGAAGTAAACGCCCGCATTGACCAAATACCGGGTGCACCACCGGTGCTGAAAGGACCGGACTCAAAGAAGTATACCCAACTACCGCACAAACCGAGCGCGGCACCAGAATTGATCCCGATGCAGTTTAAAATGCCCGGCGTGCTAAAATATGATGGGACTTCGGACCCTCAAGATCATATTACCACCTATACAATAGCGGTGAAAGGGAATGATTTATCTCCCAACGAGATCGAATCAGTTTTCCTAAGGAAATTCGGAGAGACACTCACGAGGGGAGCCTTGATGTGGTATTCAACAGTCCAAACATTCCATAGATTCCTTTGAAATGCTCGCGGATTCTTTCATTGAGGCCCATGCAGGGGCTAGAAAGGTGCAGGCCTGAAAGGCTGACATATTTAGAATTGCAAAAGGAGAGTTCGAGTTGCTGTGGGAATTCGTCACCCGATTCCAGAAGGAAAGAATGTTGCTCCCGGTTGTTCTAGATGAATGGGCGGCTAAAGCATTCACCAAGGTTTGAATCTGAGAAGTTCTTTTGCTTCCCGAAAATTGAAGGAATGCGTGCTCGAGTTCTAAGCGACGACTTGGGCTGATGTTCACAATCGGTACGAGTCCAGGATAAGGATTGAGTAAGATCAGCTCGGCTTCCTAACATCGGTTAAAGGTCGGGAGAAGAAGAAAAAGAAATCAAAAGACGATTTCGACACAGATAGACGATCGTCGGGGGGGCTGTTTTTCCCTTATGAACGGGCTGAAGGACGCGGTAGAGGTTTTCGGGTGGCAAACAGGTACGCTACCGATAGAAGAATTGACCACGGCCGAAACAACAGATCGCTATAGGACAAGGAAGCATCAGGTTCTCAAGATCCTTCCTATCCCAGACTTTCATAATACAACTTCAACGTCAGTGTAGTAGAGTTGGTATCAGCAATGAGGAACATTAAAGAAGCACGGTTTCCGAAGCGATGAGGTATGATCCCAGCCAGAGGGATCCTAATTTGTGGTGAGAATACCACGGGACAAAGGGCCACCGAAATGGGGACTGCCGACATCCACTTGAAGAGGTGGCGACACTACTAAAAAATGGCCATCTTAGGGAATTTTTAAGTGACCGAGCCAAAAACAATTGCGGAACCATGATAACACGAAGCCTTCAAAAGCAGTAGAAGACCCCCCACGCCAGATGATCAACATGATTTTCGGGGGGGGGGGGAACGAAATTAACGGGATTACCTTCTCGGCAGCAAAAAAGATGAAGGTAACACTAACCCACGGCAAGAGGCTCTGGGAGGTCGCTGAGGACGACATCACTTTCACGGAGGAAGACACAGACGAATTGTTGCTACCACACAATGATGTATTGGTAATTTCTTTAAATGTATTAGATTTAAAAATCAAACGTGTTCGGGTGGATCCATGGAGTTCGGCCAATATCATACAATTGAGGATTTTGGAGCAATCCAAGCTTACCAGAAGCATCATTCCGGCCACAAAACTCCTCGTCGGGTTCAACCTTGCAAGCGTGACAACCCAGGAAGAGATCCTGCTACCCACAAATGCCGAGGGGGTGATAAAGACGACCCTTTTCAAGGTTGTGGATAGAGATATGGGTTACAACATTATTCTGGGAAGACCATGGTTGTACGAGATAAAAGTTGTACCATCAACGTATCATCAGTTGCTGAAATTCCTAACTCCCGAGGGGATTAAACAGATAAAAGGCGACCAACTGGCGAGAAGGGAGATGAATGCGATTTCGGTCTCCAATAGCAAAGGGAAGGAGCATGCGGCATAGCAATTACAGGAACCGGCGCCTGCTCCCGAATCAAGTGAAGTAAACTAGGGAGAAGAAACGTCGGAACCTTATCAAGTGCCAAGACATTTCTAGGTACCAGAAGAGACGGACGGAACAAAGTCCATAGTGGAAGAACTTGAACAACTCGCATTGTTTGAAAAGCTCTTGGAGAGGAAATTCCACTTGGGGACAGGACTGCACCCCGACCTCAGGTCTGGATTTATTGAATTTCTTAAGTTTAATGCCGATTATTTTGCGTGGTCGCACGCGGATATGACAGGTATCCTGACGGAAGTGTCTGTGCATGATCTAAGCTTGGATCCCAGCATTCCTTTGGTAAGATAAAAGAAAGGTCCAATTGCCGAGGCCAGAAATAAATTCGTTAAAGAAGAGGTAACTCGCTTACTTGATATCGGTTCGATCCGAGAGCTAAAGTATCCAGACTGGCTAGCTAACATAGTAGTGGTTCCTAAGAAGAACAATAAATTTCGCATGTGCGTAAACTATAAGGACTTGAATATGGCGCGCCCAAAGGACTCGTTCCCACTGCCAGACATCGATCAAATGATTGATGCGATGGGCGGGCACGAGTTAATGAGTTTCCTCGATGCTTACTCTGGGTATAACAAAATTAAGATGAATCTAGAGGATCAGGGAAAGACTTCATTCATAACAAACTTTGGTACATACTGCTATAATGTGATGCCCTTCGGGCTAAAGAACGCCGGAGCCACTTATCAGCGGCTCGTAAACAAGATGTTTGAAAAACAAATAAGGAAAACCATGGAAGTTTATATAGACGATATGTTTATTAAATCTTTGAACACAGGTGATCATCTTAAGTACTTGCAAGAAACTTTTGACATCCTAAGGAAGCATAACATGAAACTTAATCCCGAGAAGTGTGCGTTCGGGGTCAACTCCAGCAAATTCCTAGGATTTCTGGTGTCACAAATGGGGATTGAGGTAAATCCCGATAAAATCAAAGCCATAAAAGATATCCCGGACCAGATATCAATCATTAAAAAGGTTCAAAGGCTCACATGGAGATTGATCGCTTTGAGCAGGTTCATTTCCCGGTCATCAAAGAAATGCCATCATTTCTTCTCTACTCAAAAAAAAGAATAACTTCGAGTGGACGCCGGAATGCCAGTAGGCTTTGAGGGATTTGAAAAAGTACTTGTCAAGCCCCTCGTTACTATCAAAGCCGGAGGAAGGAGAAAAATTATTAATCTACCTAGCAGTCTCGGAGGTAGAGGTAAGCGCCGTTTTAGTCTGTGAGGATGAAGGTACGCAATCTTCCATTTATTACGTGAGTAGAATTTTAACGGAAGCAGAAACTCGATACCCGCATTTGGAAAAGTTGGCCTTAGCTCTCGTAGTTGCCGCTTAGAAGCTAAGGCCTTACTTCCAATGTGATGACCCGAAAGGTTATCTTTCAATTTAATATTTATTTATATGTTATGAATCCTAAAATAGCGCCATTAAACATTCCTCGACTTGTGTGCGCTGTCCATAAATTTTTCGAAAAGTTTTTATGTGAAAAGTTAATTAAAATGTGAAATAGTGCTTTAAAACAAGCTTAAGTTGACTTCGGTCAATATTTTGAGAAAATAGACCCGGATCAGTATTTTGATTGTTCTGGTAGGTCCGTATCATGATTTGGGACTTGAGCGTATGCCCGGAATCGAATTCGGAGGTCCCTAGCTTGAGTTATCGCCATTTATCGAAAATTGAAAGTTTGAAAGCTTAAAGATTTCAAAGTTTGACCACAAATTGACTTCTATTGATATCGGGCTCGGATTTTGATTCCAAAAGTTAAAATAGTTCTGTTATGTCATTTATGACTTGTGCGCCAAATTTGAAATTATTCCGGATTCATTTAATTCGTTTCGGCGCGAGTTTTGTAAAGTGAAAATTTCATAAACTCGTAAGTTCTAATCGAGGTGTTAATTGTAATTTCGATGTTATTTGACGTGATTTGAGACTCCGAGTAAGTCCGTGTTATGTTACGAAACTGGTTGGTATAATTGGACGAGGTCCCGAGTGGCTGACGTGTTTCAGACCATTTTGGAAAAAATTTGTAGGTCTAGTTCTAGTATTTCGCACCTGCGACTTTTGGAGTGCAGGTGCGCCCCCGCTTCTGTGTGGAAAATTCCGCTTCTGCGACCTGAGCATTGGAACGATGTTCCGCTTCTGCGGAGTAATGTTGCGCAGATGCGCAATCGCTTCTGCGAAGGGAGGACCGCTTATGCGGTTAGCTCGTTGCTTCTGCGGTGTCGCAAGTGCGACACTCCTTGCGCATGTGAGGCAACTGGCCTAGCAGCCTAGCATCACAAATGCGAGCCTTGTCTCACAAATATGAGTCCACAGATGCGAAAATAATGTCCACAGATACGAAAATGCTGGACAGAATACATAAAATTGGGTGTTAGCCATTTTTACTCATTTTTGAGTTTTGAGTCTCTGATTTGGGCGATTCCAAAGGGGCTTTCCACGGCTTCAACTTGCGTAAGTGTTCTATAACCGAAAGTGATTATATTTCATAAATCCATGCTTATATTCATCGTTTATTTAGGATTTAGATGGAAAAAATTGGAGTTTTTATAAAACCTTTCAAAAACGGAAATTTAGGATTTGAAAGACAATCCGATGTCGGAATTTGATAATTTTAGTATGGTTGAACTCATATTGGAACGGGTGTTCGGATTCTATGATATTTCGTCGGGTTCCATAAAGTGGGCCCCATGTTGACTTTTGATTGACTTTTCCGAAAATGATTTAAATTAAGTCTCTTTTGAACTATGAATAGTTTCTAAAGCTCAAATTGAATTATTGGTAAATAATTTGCTATGTTTGATTGGTTCGAAGAATAACTCAAAAGAAAAAGCCGTGGTCGAATGATCACTTGAAATTGCGAAATAAGGTAAGTGTCGTGGTTAACCTTGACTTGAGGGAATAGAACCCTTGAATTTATTTTGTTACGTAAATTTAATGTGTAACGACGTATAGGCGAGGTGACGAGTGTCTATATGTCGTCAAATTTATTATTTGCATATTTATTTAAAAATCATAAATTATTTTAAATCATGAATTAAATAGTATATTAATTATTTCTCTCATATTCCTTGTCCAATATTATGTCTTGAATTCATGTTATAATTGTTACCTGCTTATTTTACTTATGTGTCTTAATTGCTACTTGATATTTAGCATATTAAATATAAAATTGCCTATTTTCTCCCTGATTTCCATAATTAATTGCTACTTGTCATTACTTATTTCCTACATAAATCATAATCATTGTATGCCTTGTTGCCTAATAAATTCTTATTTAATGTGATATTTATTGGAATATTTTTACATTTAAGAATTGTTAAATTATATTGTTGGAGCGGGTTGCACCACACAACAGATTTATTTTAAAGTTTATATTGTTGGAGCGGGTTGCATGCCGCAACAGAATTATTGAAAGTTTATATTGTTGGAGCGGGTTGCACACCGCAACGGAATTTAATTGAATGATTATATTGTTGGATCGGGTTGCACGCCGCAACGAGTTTTATTCTAAGTTTATATTGTTGGAGTGAGTTGCACGCCGCAACAGAATTTAATTGAAAGATTATATTGTTGGATCGGGTTGCACGCCGCAACAGAATTTAATTGAAAGATTATATTGTTGGATCGGGTTGCACGCCGCAACAAGATTTATTCTGAGTTTATATTATTGGAGCGGGTTGCACGCCACAATGGAAATTAATTGAAGATTTATGACTGTTGGATTGACTTTAATTATTGATATGATTTACCGGTCTTACTTCTTTTCCCGTTATTATTATTATTATTGCGTACAGGTTAATGTAAGCAACCTGCCTTAGCCTCGTCACCACTTCGTCGAGGTTAGGCTCAGCACTTACAGAGTACATGGGGTCGGTTGTACTCATACTACACTCTGCACTTCTTGTGCAGATACCGGAGTTGGTCCCAGCAGCGTACTATAGATTTGCTCAGATTCAGCTATCATGGGAGACTTGAGGTGTAAATGCACAACGTTCACAGCTCTGAAGTCTCCTTTTACCTTATCTTAGTTGTGTGCTTTCTTTCAGACAACTTTATTTTTATTCAGACCTTTGTTTGTATTATTCTAGAAGTTTGTGTACTTGTGACTCCAGTTCTGGGATTGTATTTAGACATCGTTATCATTTTGGCTTGTTTACTTTAATTCAGACATTATTCCAGTTGTTTGGCCTCTTTACTATTTAATTAAAACGAATTGTTAAAAATGAGTAAAATTATTCTAACTTTATTTTGCCTAGCAAGGGAAATGTTAGGTGCCATCACGGTCCCGAAGGTGGAAATTTTGGGTCGTTACAAGGTTGTATCAGATCACTAGGTTACTTAGGTCTCACAAGTCACGAGCAAGCTTAGTAGAGTCTGAAGGATCGGTACGAAGACGTCTGTACTTAGCTTCCAGAGGCTATGAAGCTTTGTAACAATATCACTTCTTTCTTATTCTGTTGTGTGATTTTATTCTATCATCGATGGTTGAACCATTCTATTCTTATTCTCTCACAGATGGCGAGAACGTGTAATACATCTACCGACGGACAGGGGCCAAAGCCCCTGGTGGCATTTATGGCCAGGGGTAGAGTCTGAGGCTAAGGTCGTGCCAGAGGCCGAGGTAGAGGCAGAGGTAGAGCTCAGTCTAGAACTTGAGCAGCAACACCTGTTGTAAAACCTCAGTTGGATTTGGGAGCAGAGGTTCCAGCTCCGACAGTACCTGTTGGACCAGTTCAGGTCCCGGAAGGATTCATAGCTACTCTAGTACTTCAGGACGCTCTAGTCCTTTTTTTGAGCCTAATGGAAGGTGTGGCCCCGAATAGTACATTTCCAGTGGCACCAGCCGTCTCACAGGCTAAGGGAGGAGCACAAACTCCCACTACTCTCGCTCCGGAGCAGATATCTCCCCAGTATCAGGCTCCAGCAGTTTTGCCAGTTGG